CTGAGTCTGACTGAGAAACTTGCATCCTTGACTAGGGCAGGTGACCAGTCTCAGCCTCCCCACACATTCACACGCCCACTTGCACACCAAAGCACACATTAAAGGGGGAGAGCTACAAATGGCGTTACAGTTTGTCACTTTTCCCCTTTAGGTTTTATTTTCTATTCAGTCAAATTTTAAAGTCTGGAAGCGTAAGAATCTCACCTTTTCCTTTAAAACTTTTTTTTTCCTATAGTTGATGAAAACTAGAATTGATGGGGCATCAGGTAGATTTGTGTAACATTGTCACAAACCTAGACACCAGCTTGGTGTTTTAGTTTGGAACTTGCACAGGAATAAAGGGTTCACAGCTTCATAAGGCACTATTGTAAGGCAACAGTGAGACCTTGCCCGGCATCCCTGGAGCTCGTGAGAAACGTACTTTTGTGTAGGCTTTGCTTAACTTGACTCTTAGAATGATCCATGCCTCCCCTCTTCCCTCTGAAGCTCATGGGCAGATCAGAGAGTGTGCATCTCTCCTGGCCTGCCCAGAGGGGACCAACGCCGCTCAGACTTCTCCTTCGTAGCACATGGTTTCCATGTCAGAAATTCTCCTGTATTCATTTGCAGTGTGAGAACACACTTATATGTGTATATGTGTGAAAACCCTTCGCACATGTGTATGAAATTTGTAAATTATATCTTCATATGGAGTTTCTAAGAATCACTGTTCTGTATTTTACAAATAATTACCTAATCGAGTGCTTTGTCCCAAGTTTGAATTTTTCCTGATAGATAATTGGTTGGGATGTGCGATTCTTTACCACTTGCAGTGACTCAGTGTAGAGGCAGTTCATCCTGTACTCTAAGATTCCCTTGCTAGAAAGTTTGGCTTCTAACTAGTGACACTTCACACCTTGTATAAGTGCAGCTACATTCTCTCAGCTGTCAGGTTTTCTTTTCTCCAACTATCACAAACAGCCATTCCATACTTAACTTGCTACAAGCAAAATATAGGCATTAGCACCGCAAATAGGCAGAAACATTTTTATTGAAATTTGATTTTTTTTTCCTTTGAGGGGGTAGAATATTATGCCCATTTCCTTCAATAAAGTGAGAATAAAATAATAACAAAACGAAGTACTGAGTCCAGAGAAATACTTATGGAAACTGTAGACATATTGAATCCACCACCAGCCTCTCCCCACCCCCGAAAGAAAATGTCTGACTAGAATGATAAAAAGCTAACTAGGAGCTAGGCAGTGGTGGTGCACACCTTTAATCATTCAGGAGGCCAAGGCAGACAGATCTCTGAGTTCGAAGCCAGCCTGATCAACAGAGTGAGTTCCAGGGCAGCCAGGGCTAAACAGAAGAAACTGTCTCAAAAAACAGAGAGAGGGGAGAGAGCGTGAGAGGAAGAGAGAGAGCTAAAGAACTGACTTGATCTGACATCTGGTCCCCTTTCAGGCCTCAGCCTGTTAAGGTGAGAAGGGGGAAGCCAGAGCTGAAGAAACTGTTTGGTGTTTACACAGCTGACCTGGACACCAGCACCAACTCTCAGCCGTGCTGCTCTGACCCAGGCAGGCTACCTCTCCTGCTGAGGACAGGCACATTACTGTCAGTATTCTTTCTTGGAAGCTGACAGTGCTGAGTCTTTTTATGATGGCATTTTTTTTTCACTCACAGCACCCTTATGAGGCAAATAAAATTGTCCCTAGTTCACAACTATTTCTGTATTTAGACAGAATAGAAATACCTCTTTTTCAAGCAACTTCCACCAGTCTTTTTACAAGATTATGTCAGTATCTCATAACTGCTTAAAAATTGGGAGTCTTGGGGGCTGGAGAGATGGCTCAGAGGTTAAGAGCAGGACTGCTGTCTGCTCTTCCAGAGGTCCTGAGTTCAATTCCCAGCAACCACATGGTGGCTCACAACCATCTATAATGAAATCTGATGCCCTCTTCTGCCATGTAGGCAGAATACCGAATGCATGATGAATTAATAAATAAATCTTAAAAAGTATTATTTAAAGAATGGAAGTCTTAGGAAATAGGAGTGTAGCTCAGGAATCTTCATTTTAACAGGAGGCAACTGGGCCTCTGTGAATGTGGGCCTCAGTTCTCGTGAATGTGCCTTCAGCACACCTGCCTCTCCAACGAGGCTCTAGAACCAGAGCTTCTTCCCCGGCCCAGTTCAGCCAGTTGGTGATTGCTGAGAGAGAAGTTGGGGGACACAGGCAAAGGGGTGACTCCTACAGAAACTAGGAAGCAAGACTATAAGTTTTCCTGGGCCGGGTGTGTGGCTTGGTAGAATGCTTGTCACGTCCTTCATGAGGCCATAGAAAAGAAAAGGAACTCCTTGTAATCTGAACATTTTCTAAGAGGCTACAGAGAAAACTGCCTTTCCGACAGGAATGTCTACATGGGCTGTAGGTGCCACACTGCGTAGAACTTTCTAAGTCGCAGGATTTGATGCTGTCATGTCCTTGGGATTTAGGTTTACACTCAGCCTTCTTTTAAGCCCTCCAACACATTTTGTTTTCTATAAAATGCAAATGATAACTTGGGTGGCTTGACTGAATTTCCAACTGACATGCATAGTTTTAAGGGTGGAGTAAATACCCAGGAATGAAGTAACTTCCAAGGGTTAGGTTCATAGGACCTCTGTGGCCAACTTCCAGCGGAGGCCATGTTCCAGCAGCTACACAAGTGTGGGTGTGCCGCAGCACAAGTGGGAGTCCTTCACAGCGGACGGGCAGTGGGACACTAAAGGGCCAGGGCTGCTGTCCCAACCAGCCAGGAGGAGAGCCGTCGCGCACAGTCACCTGGGAATTGAAACTTTTATTAACAGGAGTCTGGCTGAAAACCTCGAGAATTCCCTAGGAAAGCTCGGCTGCTGTTCCGTGCAACCTCTGAAGACGGAATCATTTATAGTCATTTTAGCACTCTGATTCCTGTTTGTTGTCAGATTGGCAAAGCAATCATTTTCTATGACTCTTTTTTTTTCTAGAAGCTGCCAATTGAGCCTGATTTCTTCGTAAGATTTCTCTTTATAAATAAATTAAATAGGGTAGTAAAAAATAGCTCTCCTTGCTTTCACTATGTGTCTCTATAGGTGGGAGCCATGTTAAAAGATCTCATTTTCTTAGGAAATGTAAACCACACTGTCTGTCACCTGGTAGCTTTGCTCTCCCGGGCTTACCCTGCCTCATGCAGGCCTGCCTTCCCATGCAGCTGCAGAGGCTCCACTCTGGGCCCAGCTCTGAGCACGAACAGCTGCCTCTCCCAACCAGACCCTCCACTGAGAAACATGAGCATTCTCACCCAGCACTCTTTCTCTTTCAGACTTGTGTCAGCCTAAGCAAATCAAGTGACTGTTTCTTACACTGCAGTTCTCCACAATTTACATACATGTTTTCCTGGTGCATTTAAAAACCTATTTTATCAAGCCCCTGCTGTGTTACTCTCTGCAGTGTCTCAGATGTCCATCCAGATTTTCAAAGGGGAGTTTTGGTTGGATGCTCCCCATCCCAGCACATGCCAGCTGGGAACAGGAGCACACAGGGTGGAGACTGTCCAGGGATGTCCAGCCTACCTAGGGAGACTCTCACAAAAAGGTTTGGATGCATCCATTTTGCAAGACACTTAGGCTGAAGTGTTGACTGAGTCATGATCCTTGCTTTTTGTGGTGCTTCTTAGTGAGTAAGAGAAGCAATAAGCAAGCTAAAAATTGTGAGGGCTGGAGAAATGGCTCCTAGCTGCTTTCCACCTAAGCACGGAGACCATGCCTGGATGTCGATCTGACAGCTGCTTCTAACCTCTGCATCCAGGAGGCAGAGGCGGGGTCCTTGGGACAAACAGGCAAGCTGGAGTGGAGACTGCCTCAGTAAATACTGAGGGAGACAGACAACCAGTGCCAGCTTCAGCCCTTGACATGCGTGTGCGGACAGGCACACCCATACACATGTGAACACACATGTGCAAATAATAGTGATATAAGCAAATATAGGACTGCGAAGGCACCAGAGGGACCTGTGGCAGAACTGGTTCGGCCTGAGGTTAGGCAGCCAGGGCAGCAGTAGAAGGACCAACACACAAAGAGACATCTGCAGAGTAGGCACAGGAGAGAATGAGGCTTGGTTGAAAGCCAGTGCTTGACATCTTCTAGGAAGGCCAGTGGTGGACACTGCAGCAAAGGGTGAAAAGCTGAGGTAAAGGGTCAGTGTGAGAGGCCACCAGCAGACCACATATTGTAGGCCTGGGTACAGTGGAAAGCTGCAAAAGTCTTTATGCTCGTGAAGGAGTTGTTCCAATACCCTTGTATTAGTCCTGAAAGGTAAATCCTGCAGCTTGGTAGTAAAGAGTAAGAGGAGGAGTCTTGCGAGTCATTAGACCAGAACTAGGAGTGAGTGCTGCAGAAATGGGACTGAAGAGAGGAGCCATGCAAGGTGTATCTCAGGAGTTCTCAAGATCAAGATGGAAAGGAAGAAGAGAACTTCTAACAGAAGCTTCTGGGCCTGTGATGATGTCACACAAAGGGCAGGGACTGTGACTGGCAGCACAGACTCAAGGGTGAAGGTTGGGAACTCAGCTGGAGGTGACTGAGCACAATGGGCTGGGATCCCCACAGGGGCGCTATGGACAGAGGAGGACAGCTGAGGGTGCAAGGGAAGAGGGTGGCCTGTCCTGCACAGAGAACACACATGCCCGGCCCAGCATGAGTGCCAGCTGCCTCGCTCTGATTGTTGTATCTTTGGGGCTCATCTGCAAAGGTGGTCTCCTGCTACTGCACCGTCTCTTATTTCCTTTGATCGGGGCTACCAACTTCTGTTGTTAAGACCAAGATGTCCCCATGGCACCTTTCCAGGTCCTCCACCCTGGGTTTGAGATGTCTTTGGGTGTTTCTTTAAGGAAATTTGGTAGTGCCAAGCCTCTGCATCTGCCTTGCACACAATCCCATGGGCACTTTTGTGTATGCAGAAATCATAAGCCTTTCTATCCTTCTGTTTGCTTCCCATGTAGGCTTCATGGCGGGCACACAGAGAAACCCTCAGATGTCTCAGTACGGACCTCAGCAAACAGGACCATCAATGTCACCTCACCCTTCTCCTGGGGGCCAGATGCATCCCGGACTCAGTAACTTTCAGCAGAGCAACTCAAGTGGCACTTACGGCCCACAAATGAGCCAGTATGGACCCCAAGGTAACAAAGCAAAACATGCTTAAATGCATGGCAGTGGGTAGTAGGGATTTTCTTCACATGCTCATCAGGGTTTTAATGGTATAAACATACGTTACAATGCTACAGCAAATGATGAGGTTACTGTGAACCCACGGCGGTAGGAGATAGCCACTGTCCTCAGTGCTGAATGCTCCCTCCCATGTGTGTGGCCCTCATTAAGGAGTGGACTCCATCCATCCTGCGATGTAGCTCCAAATGCTGGTGCAGAAAGGCACAGCCACGTCCTCAGAACATCTTTGATTTGTGTGGCCATTCAAGTGTCCTGCTTCCGTTACAACCCCCACACACTGGAATTCCCCTAGAACCCCGAGCTCCCTCCTCAGCAGACTGTCTGCAGTCCAGGGCCTGGTCTTCCCTTGGGCACTACCTCAGATGCACACAGTGCCCACTGCCCTGACCCTCACATCCTCATAGAAACACAGCCTGGTATGGACGCAGCTCTGAGGCAGGAGGTGAGACAGGAGTGGGATATACACAGAGCCGCACCCCCACACACCATTCCCACATCTGCTCCTAGAAGTCAAGTCCATGCAGACCCCTGTTTTCAGGGCTTTAAAACTGATAGGTGTATTTTGAAGTCACTTTTGGTAGTAAGACCTTTAAAGTATTGTGCCTGCATTATTTTGTGTGTGCCTAAATCAGACATTAATGGATAGTTTAGGAGGACTGGCACAATGGCTGGAAGTCCTCATATCTGAGAATGCCAGGAACATTCTGAGTTAAGACAAGTGTCTAATTGCTTTGACCTGCAGCCAGAGGTGAACCTGCCCATAGGAAGCGTCTTGGTGAGGTCTGTATCTGTAAACAAGCTGAGGGTCCTGGAGGCTGGCCAGCCAACCCTTGAGGATTTCTGAAGATCGGCAAGTGTCCTTGGAGGCCCTGGAGACCCTGGCTTTTTCAGTGGCTTGTCCTTCTCGGTTTGAAAGCAGTGAAATGGTAGTGTCGTATTTCGCAGCTGTATCTCTAAAGGATTTAGGTGTGCTCAGAGCCATAGGTGTGGTAGAGTCTTTATGTTGTTGCACTTCATTGTGCTTACTTTTCAGCTGCTTCTGTGGCTACAAGTCTTCGTATACCCCAGTAACCCTCTCTAAGTGGTCCTTTTTTGCTTTGTTCACGTGCTTATGGGCAAGATGGACAGAGCCTAGGGTTTGGCATGACGGAATTGATAGCGTGTCATGAAGTCTTCCATGCTAAGCCTAGGGGTGATAAGCAGCAGCGCTGAGGTGGGCTCGCATCAGCCCCTGTGGGCACCCACGTGCCTGTCCCCTTACCAGGCCTAAGTGCGTTCTTCACAGCCAAAGCTGGGCTCCTTGGTGATAATGGAAAGATGTTTGGACAAGTATTTGTAAATTATGTATGTACAGAACATGTGGGCCTTTCCTGACCTGTAGTTAGACAAGGCCGAAGCCCTGTTCTCAGAACTAAGGCTCCTGAGGGTGTCTGCCTTGACCTCAAACCATGTGGGCTTCCTGCAGGCTTCACACATGAGCTCAGTGCTTGTGACTCCGTGGGAAGTAACTGTGCATGCTCTGTAAGCTCTGCTCTAGGAGTTGAGATCAGGAAGGTCATTGCTAAGGAATGTTTTTTTGGTTTTGTTTTGTTTGTTTTGTTTTGTTTTAAGTAAATCCCTCAGTTTCTGCAAATCATTGTGTTGGGCTATCCGTCATTTAAGAGCACTGAGCCAGGTAAATCCTCATACAAACTGTACTTCGTCTTAGAAGGCATGAGCTCTTCCTGTGACTTCCTTCTCCCCCAGAACGACATTGTTGTTTATACCACCTTAGAAGTATGCTGCTTCCGGTCCAACAGCTTTTCCATAACACAGCCACTGGATCCCTGCAAACAGTGGGGTTGTGTCGTCAGGAAGGCATTTGATGGTTTTATTGGTACAAGCTGACATCTGAGGCAAGGATGGTGTTCCCACACGTGGCACACCTGTGTAAGGGGCCCTCTGCCAAGCCCCTCCATCTCAGAAGCCCTCTGACCTTGTCTTGTTCCTGTGTGGCATCAACACCTCCATCCCTCCTAAAGTGCCACACTGGCAGTAGTGAGCTTAAAATCAATGTCCAGGCCCTGCCCATGTTCAAATCTCAGGCCCCTGTCTTGTCTCAGCAGGCACTAAAGGGTAGGAAATGGCACAGGAGTGTGGACTGACATGTTGCGAACCAGGGCATGCCCTGACATGTTCCTCCATGGAATCCCGGTTATAAAGAGACCCCCCCATGAGGGATTTTCCCCTTCTTCCTTATAAGTTTTCAGATTACCAGTAAGATAGTTGACTAGTGACTTCTTAGAAAGGTTGCAGTAAGAAAGACAGCGCTGGAAAAGGCCGTCAGTGCCACCCCTCTGTTAACACAAGCCTTTCTTCTGGGGTTATTGTGAAGCATCTTGGGGGAAGACATTTCACAGCTTCTTTGGCTAATCCCATTTTATTGTCAGATGTAACGTCTACAAAACTGTCATTAGCCAAAGAAGCCGGGACCAGATGTGGTGGCTCATGCCTATAATCCCAGCACTCAGGAGGCAGAGCCAGGAAGTTCATCCATGATTTGAAGCCCACATAGGCAACATAGCAAGATACTGTCTAGGAAAAACAAGAACAAAACACCAAGCAGTACTTACTGTTCTTTCCACTGAGCATGGGATTATATTCTGAGCAGGGTTCACATTTGACCCAGGAGAGCAGGCAGTTTTTCTCTGCTTCTCCAAGAGACACAAGCACAGCACAGATACACACTTCTCCATGCAGTGATCACTGGCCTGCCCTGAGTGAGCCAGATGAGAAAACCAGGCCTTAACAGCCTGACCTGGGTACCCTCTGTCCCCACAGGCAGGAACAGGCTTCAAACCCAAAGTGACAGATTGCAGAGGCCACTCTGGCCACCAGCTGCCCCATACCCTGGCTTTCAGTCAGGTTCTGTCCTCACTGTGCATTCATCCCATGAGTGGCGGGGAGATGAAAGACTTACTGCCTGCCTCTGAGAAGAGCATCTTGGAACTTTAGGAATGGAAAAGTACCAGGAATAGTTAGGACCCTGCCAACCATGGTGAGTCATAGCTGTAACCCCGCATTTGGGAGCCGAGGCAGGAGGATTGCTGCAAGTTTTAGCCCAGGCCACAAAGTGAATCTCTGACTCAAAAAAAAAAAAA